AGTGAGGCAGGTCTCACCTGCTTGCGGATGGCCTCCAGGTCCTGGTCCTGCACCAGGTCCTCACGGAGGTGGATCCGGGTGAGGCGGGTGCTGCGGGGGTCGGAAAAGAGGCTGAAGAAGCTCTCATGTGGCTCAAAGTTGCAGGCGGCATTGACCAGCTCCACGTACCTGGAGAGGAGAAAGCCTGGCTCTTGGTGGGGGCAGCCATGGCAACTCGTCCCTTCAAACACAAACCCTCCCCTCCTTGAAGCCTTCTTGGATCACCCCAGTAGCAATCTCCTCCTCATCCTCCTTCTAAAAGTAACTGGTTGGATCCTGACAAGTGAGATTAAGAGTTCCCAGGAACCAGGAATCTTTTTTTTTCTGTTTTTTTGAGTCAGAGTCTTATTTTGTTACCCAGGCTGCAGTGCAGTGGCCCGTTCATGGCCACCATAGCCTCAACCTGCTGGGCTCAGGTGATCCTTCCGCATCAGCCTTCTAAGTAGCTGAGACTACAGGTATGTGCCACCACGCCCAGCTAATTTTTAAATGTTTTGTAGAGACAGGGTCTTGCTATGTTGTCCAGACTGGTCTTGAATTCCTGGACTCACGCAATCCTCCTGCCTCGGCCTCCCAAAGTGCTAGGATTGCAGGCGTGAGCCACCACAGCAGGCCAGGAAGCAGGCAACTCTCTGGGTGACCTTCTGGTTATGCAGGGGCCTCCTTTTCAAATGCACATGCCTGTCACACAGCCTCTGTGCACACTGGCAGTCCCATCGCCACACCCACACTCAGCACCTTCTTTTTTTTTTTTTTTTTTTTGCCAGGACCAAGAGATTTATTAAAGCAGCTGTTACAGAGGGGATCTGTAACGGGAAAAAGGAAAAGAGAGAGAGAAAGAGAGAGTAAGAGAGAGAGAGGAAGTGGGAGAGAGGCGGGGAGAGAGCTACAGAGAGGGAGAGAGCGACAGAGAGCCAGCACCTTCTTTAAGCTCTTTCTGGGATTCTTTCAAACAGGCAAATTCTGCTAAGTGGTTTGGAGTTTCCAGGTGGATAAAGGACGGGCCCTCTACAAAACCTGATTGATATCCCAGCTCATGCAAGAATCCTGATCTCGTGGGAAAGGCTTTGGATTCAAACACTCTGGAATCTCAATCCTGGCTTGGCTGCTCCCTACCTGGGAAACTGCACACAAGTAACTGAACTTCCACAGAGCTGTTTCTTCATCTGTAAAATGGACACAACTCTGATCTGCTTCGATCTCTAGTCATGGGTCCATTACTCTGGCATTGGCATATAAACCCATATGTGCCCATGCTCATTGTTTATAGGCACATGTATGCATGTGCTAGTACACACCCATGTAGGACAGCACCTAGCTCCTTCATTTTTTTTTTTTTTTTTGAGCCAGGGTCTCACTCTATTGCCCAGGTTGAAGTACAGTGGTACACTCATGGTTCACCTTCTGGGCTCAGGTGATCCTTCCACCTCACCACTGAGTAATTAGGACTACAGGTGCATGTCACCATGCCTGGCTAATTTTTTTTTTTTTTTTTTGTAGAAGTCTTGCTACGTTGTCCAGGTTGGTCTCAAACTCAGTGATCCTCTTGTCTAGCCCTCCCAAAGTGCTAAGATACAGGTGTGAACAACCGCACCTGGCTAACTCCTTCATTTATATGCAAGTTTTTACACCATCACATCCCTAAATGCACACATGCAGTTTATACTCAAACATACACCGAACTGCATAAGCTTACGTGTGTGTATACACCCATTCCTTCATGTGCACATCCTACATGCATACCAACATGTGCACCTCCACGGTTATGGGTACACCTCTGTTCTCTTGTACCCATGAACACCCTTGGGCATATACACTCCCTCACATTCATATCCATCCACCAAGGGTTACACACATGTCATCTCGATCACTCCATACACTCTCATGAGAGCTAAAACCCTTGTCTTCTCAGCCCCAGGCTCTGCTCACTCATTGACGAGCCGGTCACAGATCTCGCTGGGCAAGAAGATATCTGGATGCAGCCGCAGTGTCTCCTTATCCAGCAGGTAGCCCAGGGTGCCGTCCAGATTGCGCAAGCAGAAGTCAGTACAGAGGGCCATCAGGGACTCAGGCGTGTCGGACGCCATGCTGATAGCAGGGAGGCGGGCCCCTCTAGGGCACGGCCCCTGGGGCAACAGGGATTCCTCTGCACTCACAGGGTCATTGGCAGATCCACAGCCTGGGGAACAGGAAAGAAGCCAAGTGAGCCACATGGAGAGCCAGAACCATCAGCTGCCCTCTGATCACTCTTTGAATGGGAAAACTGAGGCCTCAGAATCACACTCGAATTAGCAGCTTAGCAGGATCAGGCCCAAGCCCCCTGACTCCTTCTCTTGCCCTTTTCTGCTGTGCCATCGTCTATGCAAATCTATGACCTGCAAAGAACATGGGGCCTTGTCCAAGCATCTCTCTGCCTTCACAATGCCTGTGGGCAGACATGTGTGTGTTAAAGTCTGAGTGCTTGGTGAAGATAATAGGGACTTTTACCATCTGCTTCTGACAGTCTTAACAGCTGCATTAGGGTGCTCTGCGCTGTGCAATACTTCCTAACCTGCATACAGCTGTCACTGATTGAGTACTTAGTATTTGCAAGGGCTTTTTGGACATAATATTACTGAATTTCATGGTGCATGATTAAAAATGAAGGTTCATGGCCAGCCACATTGACTCATGCCTATAATTCCAGCACCTTGGGAGGCTGAGGTGGGAGGATCACTTAACTGGGCAATATAGCAAGACCTTGTCGCTAAAAAAAATAAAACCAAAAAATATTAGCTGAGCATAGTGGTGCACACCTGTAGTCCTAATTATTTGGAAGACTGAGGATCACTTGAGCCCAGGAGTTCGAGGCTGTGGTGAGCCATGATTATGCCACTGCAGCACTCCATTCTGGATGGCAGAGTGAGACCCTGACTCAAAAAAAAAAAAAAAAAGGCAGAACTGCCAAAGGGAAATGAAAATATATGTCCACAAATAAATTTGTACATGAATGCATGAATGTTCACAGCAGCATTATTTGTGATAGCCAAAAAAGTGGAAACAACCCAAATGTCCATCAACTGATGAATAGAGAAATACAATGTTGTATATCCATACAATGGAATGTTATTCAGTCATAAAAGGCTAAATATTACTCAGCCACAAAAAGTACTGATACATGCTATAATGCTGGACATCAAAACCATGCTGAGCAAAAGAAACCAATCACAAAAGGTCATATATTATGTGATCTCACTTATCTGAAATGTCCAGGCAGAACAGGCAAGCCTATAAAGAAGTAGACGGATAGCTTGGGATGCAAGGAGTGACTGCTAATGGGTATGGGGTTCCTTTTTGGGGTGATGAAAACATACTAAATTGAGTGTAGTGACTCAGTTCGAACCTTAAATATACCAAAAAACATGGAATTGCATACTTTTTTTGAGTCAAGAGTCTCACTCTGTCGCCTAGGCTGGAGTGCGATGGCCCCACAGTCTTGATCTGCTGGGCTCAGGTGATCCTTTCGCCTCAGCCTCTCAAGTGGCTGGAACCACAGGCATGCGCCACCACACCCGGCTAAGTTTTTTGATTTATTGCAGAGATGAGGTCTCGCCAAGTTGCCCAGGCTGGTCTTGAACACCTGGGGTCAGGCAGTCCTCTATAATTGTATACTTTATTTATTTATTTATTTATTTGATTTGGAGTCTCACTCTGTCACCTAGGCTGGAGTGCAGTGGCACACTCATGCCATCCCAGCATCTACCTGCTGGACTCTAGTGATCTTTCTGGCTCAGCCTTCCAAGTAGCCGGAACTACAGGCACGCGCTACCATACCTGGCTAATTTTTTTGATTTACTGTAGTGAAAAGGTCTCACCAAGTTGCCTGGGCTGGGCTCGAATTCGCAGGCTCAGGCAATCCACTCGCCTCGGCCTCCCAAAGTGCTGGGATTACAGGTTGAGCCACCGAGCCCGGCCAGATGTACACTTTAAATGTGTGAATTGTGCAACATGTGAATTACATCTCAATGAGACTGTTACTTACAAAGTGAAGTTACCTACTAGCTTCATGACCTTGGGGCAGGTAAAGATTTCTTAACTATGACTCAAAAGGTGCTAACTAGCGGGTAGAAAATGACAAGTTTTTAATTTATTTTTATTTTTTAGAGACAGGGTCTAGCCGTCACCCAGGCTGGAGTACAGTGGTAAGTACAGTGGTACCATAGCTGATTGTAGCCTTAAACTCCTGGGCTCATGCGATCCTTCTGCCTCATCCTCCCAAGTAGCTAGGACTACCGGTGTGCATCGCTACACCTGGCTAATTAAAAAAATTAGAGATGAGGTCTTGCATTGTGCCCAGGCTGGTCTTAAACTCCTGGTCTCAAGCAGTCCTCCCACCTTGGCCTCTCAAAGTACTGGGATTACACGTATGAGTCATTGAGCCTGGCTGAAAATGACAAACTAGTTTGCAATGAAGTGAAGACATTTCTGTTCATGCATACACAAAAATTACTTTGAGATAGTTCACGCATACACAGTAGATTTAAATGTGAAATGTAAAACAATACGGTTTCTAGAAGAAAACACAGGAATATCTCTTTATAACAGAGTAGGCAATGATTTCACATAAAGAGAAAGAAACTGATAAACTAAACTGCCTCAAAGCTCTGTTCACCAAAAGATACCATGAAGAAAGAGAAAGGGCAAGCCACAGACTAAAAGATATTTCCAATAACATAGCCAACAAATAACTAGTATTCCAAATATATAGGCAACTCTACATAAATCAAAAATCAGCTGGGCGTGGTAGCGCGCACCTGTAGTTCCAGCTACTCGGAAAGCTGAGGTGGAAGGATCGCCGGAGCCCAGTAGGTCGAGGCTGCGGTGGCTGGGAGCGGCCACTGCACTCCAGTCTGGGTGACAGAGTGAGACTCCAACTCAAAAAAATAAAAATAAATAAAAATTGGGCAAAAGAAGCCCAGGCACAGTGGCTCATGCCTATAATCCCAGCACTTTGAAAGGTGGAGGCAAGAAGATTGCCTGAGCTCAGGGGTTTGAGATCAACCTGTGCAACTTGGCAAGACCTAGTCTCTACAATAAATCAAAAATTAGCTGGGCGTGATGGCATGCACCTGTGGTTCCAGTTACTTGGAAGGCTGAGGCGGAAGGATCGCCCGAGCCCAGCAGGTCGAGGCTGTGGTGGCTGTGAGCGTGCCACTGCGCTGCAGCCTGGGTGACAGAGTGAGACTCCAATTCAAACAAAAAAAGGACAAAAGACTTGAACAGGTATTTTGTAAAGGAGGATAGTGAAATGGACAATAAACCCGTGAAAAGCATTCAACTTCATTACTGTTAGGGAAACACAGTAAAGCCACAATGAGATGTCATTTCTTACCCACTCACTGGCTAAGCTGAATACCCAGCACTGGCATCGAGGACAGCAGGGAACAAGAGGAAGTCTCCCACTGTTGGTGGCAGTGTAAATGGGTGTGAAGTGTTTAGCACTATTCACTAAAGCTGAACACACACAGATGCTCAACATTTAGCAATTCCTCTCCTACGGAAATGCATAAGTAAATGCACGCTAAGAGATCAGAATGACCACAGCAGCACTATTTGTAATGACCAAACCCAAAAAGAACCCAAATATCCACTGACACTGGAATGGATAATTATGGGATATTCACCAATGAAATACGACATGCTGCCGGGCTTGGTGGCTCAGCCTATAATCCCGCGCCTTTGGGAGGCTGAGGTGAGTGGATTGCCTGAGCCCGCGGGTTTGAGACCCGCCTGGGCAGGCGAGACCTCATCTCTACAGTAAATCAAAAAATTAGCTGGGCGTGGTAGCGCACGCCTGTAGTTCCAGTTACTTGGAAGGCTGAAGCGGAAGGATCGCCAGAGCCCAGCAGGTTGAGGCTGCCGTGGCTGGGAGCGGCCACTTCACTCCAGTCTGGGCGACAGAGTGAGACTCCAACTCAAAAAAAATAAATAAATAAAAATTAAAAAATTAAAAAAGAGAAATACTACCTGCTAAGAGATGCACAAACTACTGTTAACGACCTGGATGACCCTCAGTGTTTAGTGAACGAGCCAGACACAAAAGAGTATATGCTGTATCAATCCATGTAGGTATCACTCCATTAAGTTCAAACACAAGCCAGGTGTGGTGGCTCACACCTGTAGTCCCAGCACTTTGGGAGGCTGAGGCAGGATTACTTGAGCACAGGAGTACAAGACCACCCTGGGCAATATAGCGAGACTTCGTCTCTACAAAAAAAGAAAAATCAAAAAATTAGCCAGGCATGGTAGCACAGGCACATGTCTGTAGTCCCAGCCACTCAGGAGGTGGAAGGGTGGAAGAGTCACCTGGGCCCAGGAGGTGGAAGGGTCACCTGGGCCCAGGAGGTCAAGGCTGTGGTGAGCTATGATTGTGCCACTGCACTCCAGTCTGGGTGACAGAGCGAGGCTCTGGCTCAAAAAAAAAGTTCAGGGCGCAGAGGTCAGTGACAAGATGATATCTCCAGCGTGGGTCTCTCCGCTCATTGAGTGTGGCTGCCGCTACTTTGTCCTGTTCCTCAGCGTGGCCTATGGAGCCTGGCACTACAGTTACCTGAAACCTCGGGCAGAAGAGGAGAAGAGGATAGCAGCAGAAGAGAAAAAGAAGCAGGATGAACTGAATCAGATTGCTCGAGAGTTGGCAGAAGCCCAAGATGACAGCATCTTGAAGGGAGAGTCCCTGCGAGCCTGCTTTTCCTGCAGCAGTAGTGGATGAATAAAGCTTCCTGTGTAGTATGGTTAAAAAAAAAAAAAAAAAAAAAAGTTCAGAAGGAGGGACCCTAACCTGTGGTGGGAGAAGCAAGGACCGTGGTTACCTGGGGATGGAAGGCGTAACTGGAAGGAGGTTTTGGGGTGCTGATGAGATTCTAGTCGTTTATGAGAGCACTGGCTATCCAGTTGTATTCACTTTGTGGAGGATATTCATGGCACTGTATATCATAATGTGTGCACTTTCTCCACTGTATATTCTAATTGAATAAAGTTAAGCCAGGTACGGTGGCTCACACCTGTAATTCCAGTACTTTGGGAGGTGGCGGTGGGAGGATTGCCTGAGTCCAGGGGTTTGAGACCAGCCTGGGGAATTTGGCAAGACCTCGTCTCTACAATAAATCAAAATTAGCCAGACGTAGTGGTGCGTGCCTG